CCCAGGTTGACCACCGTAACCTGTTACTTAGGCCTTGACCGGGGTTAACTCCCAATTCAAATTTTAAAATGTTAATAATAACAACTTTTATGATTTTATCTATACATTGGCTCGGGTCAAATTAGGTTCATCTTCCAGATCTATGATGCAAGGCTTGTACCTGCTTCCCTCCAGATGAGGTATAAAACTATAACAATAGCAACTTTTATTTTTATGTTAATTTAAATCAACTCAGGTTAACCCTCTTGACTTGTGACACTATCATTGCTCTAGGTCTATTTCCGAGTCGAGTTTTAAAACTACAACAATAACCATTTGTATTTTTATGTTGACTAAGATCAACCCAGGTCGACATTCCTGACCTGTTGTGGACCATAGCGGTAAAATATGATGAAGAGGACCATCTGGGCCAGGCAACCTCTCTTCTTCTGGAATGTGCACAGGTCCTATGAACTACGGTCCCTGCTCCCTTGATATTTTCTGCAAAATCTTTGCCCAAGAATTCTCTTTCTTTCTTTCTTTTCAGAAAAAAGCATTACGATTTACGAAGTCATCTTTTTTTAAATTATTATTATTATTATGGATTGAGAAAGGCGGTGGGACTGAATTTGACTCTCCCATCCTCTCTCGTCTCTAGAAGAATAACATTTACGAGGGAGAAATGAAAATCATTCTGGCTTCAGAGCATGAAGCTTACGCTAGCCTTCTCTGAAACCACCAAAAACGTGAATAGCAAAACAAGGAAGAAGGAAAGAATGGATTTAAATTATTATTATTATTATGGATTGAGAAAGGCGGTGGGACTGAATTTGACTCTCCCATCCTCTCTCGTCTCTAGAAGAATAACATTTACGAGGGAGAAGTGAAAATCATTCTCGCTTCAGAGCATGAAGCTTTCGCTAGCCTCCTCTGAAACCACCAAAAACGCGAACAGCAAAACAAGGAAGAAGGAAAGAATGGATGGATGGATGGGACTCTACGCATGAATGCGGACATGACACAAAATTGTTGTCAAACTCCTTAGCAGCTTGTGATGCTTGAATTGGACATTTCGGCCAGACCTTAAAATCGTGCGCTGGCTGTGCCAGAGAGGAACTGACTTTCACAGGCAGGATAAAAACTTGTACAATCAAACCATACAAGATCCAAAAAAGTGTCACAAGAGAAGCATTTAATCCACTTGGATCTTTTCTCTGTCTTTTAATTATTCCATCCATCAAGTTATTAAGACTTGCATGTTTGATATTGCTGGTGTACTATATTTTTTAAATATATATATCTTTTTAAAAAAATTAAAATAATTTTTTTATTTTTAATTTTAACATATCAAAATCATTAAAAAATATTAATTTAATACCTTTTTCAAATCAAATACATTTTTAAACAATAAAAAAAGAACTACCCCGTTTCTAAGCAACAAATCCAATTCCCAATAATAATAAAAAAAACACTAAAATAAATATTTAATTCCCGATTACCTAAAATAAAGATTAACCACAATTAAAATAAAACAAAGATGTCCAGCAACATATTTGCTGGTGGCCATCACCCCATAGCAATTAACACAGGAAGAAGAAAGTATCGGTACCAACTAATCAAAATATTCAAGATTTGGATCAAACGAAACCCTAAGGAGAGGGGGTTAAACCCTTATCATTACTAACATTATGATTATAGTACCTGCAGAGGACATCACATTTTATCACGTTACCATAAACATAGAACCCAGGTGCCACCATGATCCTAACCATCGCTGGGACCAACTTCCTTGCCCGGTCTCCACCCATATCCTCCATGTAAACTGAGTCAAAGTTCATCCCTTTATCCACCCTGAAGATTGGCATGCCAGGGTGCACCGAATTGGCCAAAAGGTGCACCAACCACATGTTTTTAGAAGCACTAAAGAATGCCTGCAACAATGGCTCAGGCCAGGCTCTATTCCACCCCAACATAGCCACAATCTCACTCATTTTCCTATCACAAAACTTGCTAAACTCTTCACTGAAATGCCTTGTCCCTTGATTCAATACCTCCTCCCATGTCAAATCTCTAAGCACGTTAAATGACGCGTAGTTTGCTTCACATCTATCAATTGGGTTCAATATTTGATTTACGAAATTCCTTTGGAACCCAACAGATTCAAAATCTTCGAAGAAAGCTTTGTTCAACAAAGCCTCAAGGCAAAAGAGCACACCTTTCGGATTCTTATATAATGAAATCTTTATATCATAAGGTTGAAGCAACGCAGATATTCTCTCATATACTCTAACTCCCATGTGCCTTAGTTGCCTAGTGAGTGACCTGCTTAATAGCCTAACAGAGGACCTAGCTTCAGATACTGAAACCAAAAATTGCTCTATCATCACTTTATCACTGACCCCCATAAGACCATTTTGTTGATATTGATGAATGTTGTAGCCTTTTTCACCTCGATAAAGTGGGTTGTCACTGCTACATTCATCAAGTCCAGACTTCAAATCATGGCAATAAATTTCAAGCATGCTAAGCTTGTTTTCAAGCTCAGCCATTGAGTACTTGAGCCTTGAAGCTTCAAGAAGCGCGCCATCTCTCTTTCTTGTTGCTTGAATCAATTTATGAGATAGCTCAGCTACAGCAGTCTTCCATTGCTCTTCTCTTGCTATTGGGGCATCACCAGTGGATTTTGGACTCTTCCTAGTCAGTGAAGAAAATATGGACTTGAAAATTCCATTTGGACTTGCAATAGATGAATGCTTGTTTAAGCCAGTATTGTCCAAAGGAACAACTGAAATCTTCTCTCTTGCATGTGGATGGCACTTGTTACAAGAAATTGAACCACCACCGTCATCTCCATTAGTGCTATCACCATGTCGTTTCTTGGTGCTTTGCTTGCTGTTTGTGTCATTGGGAGGTGATCTTGAATGGAGCTTTGGCGTCGGTATCTTGTCTATAAAACTAGCTGGTGTTGCTTTGGTAGTAGCACTTTGGCTTCTCTCTTCACTATATTCATCTCCGTGCTCTTCTTTTTCACACTCTTGAATCTGCGACACCAATTAAAAGAAAAACAAACAACAGCAACAAAGTTAAGAAAACTGGTAATTAAGAAGGAAAATATTGCAAACTCTTAAGTACTGAACCATTTGTTCCGATTAATTAAAGTAAATAATTCTTGAATTCCCCATCATTTACTTACAGGTGTGATATGAGGGTTTTGAAAAGGGAGAACTACTGTTGGCGCTGGAGGAGGAGAGGAAGGAGACTTAGAGGAAGAAGGAGAAGAGGAAGAGGAAGGAGCCATGTTTATTTGTTATCAAGCTCATTGTTTTGTGCAGTTTTCTTTTTAACAAGGACTCCAAGTAGACTGGTCCATCTAGTAATATAGGTGGATGTATATGATGTTTTTTATTTAAATAAAAAAAATAAAATAATCTAGGATATGGTACATGCAGCTGTTTCTTATCAGTTGCAGTCTCTTTTCGTTTTCTTTCATTTTCTAAGGTTGTGTCCTATTCGTCCTGTAATCATGGTGATCAATTACTAGTAAATACTAAGATTTTAAAAAATGTTTTTATTTAAAAAATAAAATAAAATTATTTTTATGCATTAATGTTATAAATAAATTTTAAAAAATAAAAAAATATTATTTTAATATATTATAAATAAAAAATATTTTAAAAACAATTATTATTACATTATCAAAAACTTAAATAATTTACCAAGCTCAATAATACTAAAAAATGGCTTTCTGTGATTAGATTTTGGTGAAAAAGATATTATAAGAGCTTTATATATACCAGTTTTTTATTGTGAATTGCACATAAAAATACTAATGTTTTTATTTTTTAATTAATTTTTTTATTTATCAGTTTTTTATTGTGAATTGCACGTAAAAATATTAATATTTTTATTTTTTTAATTAATTTTTTTATTTGAATTAATTGACTTATATTAAAAAAAAATATTTTAGTCATTACATTCATATGAAACAGATTTTAAGATATAAATTCCAAGTTTAACAAGTTAACATAATTTGGTAGATTAATCTAATTGATTTTTTTTTCTAATTTTTTTTTAATATTAATTTGATTAAAAATTAAATTTTATAATTTATTTATTTTATTTTTATTAAATTATTGTGATCTCGTGAGGGGATTTTACCAAACCCTACTCGCAAAGCACTATCTATTGAAATAGTGTTTTGCTTTGTTTTTTTCTTTTGTTTTTTCTATTTCAATTAATATTTTTTAATTTTATTTTTTATATTAATTTTTTTTTATTTAGTTATTATATTTCCATGGTATACCTTTATAGTCAGACTCATATCTAATGTTTTTAGGTATGATGTTGCATGAAATCTAGGGTTTTTGGGATTGATGTTGTAGTTAGATCCACTTGAACTTGGATTATGTGAATTTAATATTATTATTAATATTATAAATATTATTATTTGTATTAAGAATATTATTATTTTTATTATAATAAATATTACTAATAAAATAATTAATAAATTTGAAAAAAAATATTGTTAGTTACAGGTTTTTTTTGCCTTTTTTTTAATTAATCTTTTTTTTTTTAATTTAGATCTCAAATGTTATTTTTTTTTCTATTTAGTCATCACACTCTCATGTCACGAATCTCAAGTTTGGTGAGTTATCCTAATTTGGTGGGTTATCCTGATTTGATGGGTTAACCCTGTTAATTCAGATTTTTTTCTTTGTTATTTTTTCTTTCAATTTTATTTTTTAATGTCGATTTGATTGGGAATTAAATTTCATAATTTATTTTATTTATTTTTTTATTAGATTATTGTAATCTTATGAGAAGATTTTATTGTACCCCTCCTCGTAAAGCACTATTCATTGTAATAGTGCTTTGCTTTTTTTTTTCTTTTCAATTAATTTTTTTATTTAATATTATTTTTTTCTATTTAGTTATCATATTTTTATGACACGTCCTTGCAATCAGAGTCGCATCCAAGCCTCTTGATTTAAACTTGAGTCATGTAATTTTAATATTATTATTAATATTAAAAATAATATTATTTTTATTATAAATATTACTATTAGTATTATAATTAATATTATAAATATTACTCTTAAATCAAGCATTACAATTATATTCAATTAATTTTTTTAAATTTTAATTTTTTAAATATTTTTTATATAAAAAAAGTTAATCTATCACAAACAATATATAAGAAAACAGTATAAGCAGGAACCTCAAAGTGCCTCCAAAATTTCTTAGATATCACTTATCATCGAGCAAATTTGTTTTCCGTTCATTGATTTTTTGTTCTTTCATAAAATCCTTTTTTGTCTTTCCAATCTCTTGTTCAATTAGATAATGAGATGATAACTAAACAACAAAATCACTTACTCTTATATATGTTAATATCGAGTTTATATACACGATAAAATAATATCAAGTTATAGTAAATTTAAGTTGGTTTCAGAGGTACTAGTTTTTTTCCAGCGCCTTGTCATAGTATTATTTTTTATTAGATTTTATGGAAACTAATATAAATATTTGAAAGAATTTAAATAATTTAAATTATTAACTGAAAAATACATAATTATTAAGTCAAAATCATGTCTTTTTTATGTATTTTTTTATTTGACATAGTCATGACTCTTCTTTTTATTAAAAGTTTGGTCTTCTTAATATAAATTTAAAATATCTAAAATAGAAAAAATAGAATTCAAATGATTTGAACTTAATAGTAAAAACTGTATTTTTTTAGACAATTCTTTTTTTTTTTGTTATGGATTCATTTATTCTTTCTTTTTTTACCATCAATGTTTTTTTAATAAAAAATTTGGTTCTCAATATACTTATCATGTAAAGAAATTTAAAAAAAAAAAACAAAATTAATGTCTCAATAATTTTCATCCTCTATATGAAAAGAATAAAAGAATAAATAGTTTCAATTTCATATATAATTATTCATAAAATAATTGTTAACATTATAAAAACAATTCTAATTTTATTTGAAAACTATGACATAGTCAATCATTTTTTAATAACATTTTAATGAGTTTATTTGAAAAAAACTATTATATAATTAAAAAACAAATAGAAAAGCCAATGTAAAAAAATGTCTAGACACATAAGATCACACTTGCATAGTCCAAAATATAAATTTTTAACTTATTTTTATCTAAAACGCTTTAAAAGTATCCTTAAAACCTCAATAATCCTTTTTCTAACTCCAAAACATCATTTAATCACTCTAACTCAAAATAAAATTAAATAAAAAAAATTATATAAACTCCAATATACTTTTTCTTAACATAAATAAAAGAAAAAAAAATATTTTTATTGAATTTTATTATCTAAAATAAACTCAGTCTCCTGTAATCTCTTGTAATTGTTTTAAAAAATTTTATTTTTTCCCAGTGATTTTCTCTTTTATCTCTAAAACATGATGAAAATAAAATTTAAGAATTAAAATGAAATAAACCCTAAAACTACATGGACTAAACATGTAAAAATGGAAAACATCAAGTATTAAAATAAACTTTTTTTTATGAAAAATATAATAAGAATATATAATAGGAGAGCTAGAATACAAGATAATAGTAAGATAATAGTGAAAAGTCAAAATGTTTTAGTTTATTACTTTAATATAAAATTAATATAAAACTACATTCTTGTTTTTTTATTTCAAAGAATCGATAGCATGTAACATTTTTTTTTTTTTATTTATATGGGGTGTCTCCAAAGAATCGATAAGATGTAACATCTTTAACATGTGCTTATTGTGCTCTAGTCCACTAATTCTTTGAAAGTGATAATTTAAAATTTTAATTAGAATTTCAGTTTTTTATCATGAATTATTAGGTGCAGGTTTAGATCAAAGACCCACTGGAGTAAAGTGAATCCTTCCCACGGGGAACTGGAATTTATGCTGTCCTCCCAGAAACTTCTCCACGAATTATTGAGAAAGGAGAGCACTTTGGCCATTGGGATTATAAAGTGGAAAATCTTCTTTAACTTTAGTTAGCCTTAGCCTTTTTATTTTTATCACTTGAAGCATTCTCCCATATTATATAAAAGATGCCTGCATATATATATATATATGACTACTAATTTATCTCACACAAATCCTAAAATCAAACGTGAAGTTGCAATAACCAAGCACAAGTAATAAATTACTACAATTTGATTTATTTATTTCATTCTCTTACAAAACGTAGTACACTATTCAAGATCGCACGGTGAAGATACAAAACAAAAAAACCTCGGGTGGGTCGTAGCCCAATCAAGTTCAACATACTTGATTGTGTTTTTGTCCAACCGAGCTTCATCTCCGTTTCTCTATCTTTTTCTTTCATTTTTTACTCCGAAATAGTCTTATTCACTATTTATAAATAATATATTACTATTCATGAATTGTATTTATTATGCAAAATTTGTTCAAAACAAGTCCTAAACTCGATCATATTATTTATAATTATTTAGGCTGAGCTTCACCCGCTCATCCTTCTTTCTCTCGTCACTTAGATTAGTATAATCTCATTTACTATTTATAAATAGTATTTACTATACAGATTTTATTCAGAGTAAATTTCAAGTCCCTAGACTCAATCGGATCAAGCTTCACCCCTCCTTTCTCTCTCTTACTCATCTCTTCTTAGTAGGAGAGAGAAAAGGTGTTTAGGCTATTTATTGCAAATAAATAGTATTTCTTCAACTCATTTGAACTACGAAGTAGCTCCCCCTCCTCGTCCCCCCCTCGCTCCCTTCATTTTTCTCTCTTTCCTTGGTTTGGTTTGATGAGGTTACTTTGTCTCACCTGATTAATACTATTTATATGATATTATTTATTACTATTAATGACTAATATTTTTTCTTAAATATTTCTTTAGATGTTTTCAGTATATGTATTCTCTGATTTTAAGAGAGGAGGTACTATTACTGCATGATATTATTTATTACTATTAATGAATAATATTTTCTCTTAAATATTTCTTTAGATGTTTTCAATATATGTATTCTCTGATTTTAAGAGAGGAGGAATAAATCCAGAGATCTGGAAAATTATTTATCTAAGAAAATTATACTTGTTATCTCTTCACTGCACATAAAAAACACATCTCTTCTCTACATACAAAAAATAAATATTTTATCCTCTTAATTTTTTACATGTTTTTCACTTGATAATACTGAAGCATCATAGTATTCATTGTTACAAAAAAAAAAAATCAACAAAGGAAATTAAACATTTTTTAATGAAGGTTTTCTACAACTTCATCTCATTAATTCCTGCCAGCACTGTGAGAATATGGTATTACTCTAAGCTATGCAGTAAATGAGCAAGCGAATTCATATTATCATTCGATCGATGTCAGCTACTCAGCTAACTAA